TTGTTTAAAAGCAATTGTGAATTTTTTCCAAAGAAAGAAACCTTTGTTGTACTTACAGGGCAAGTATGAGGAGGAGACTTCATTAATTCAAATTCCCACGCAGGCAGTAAAATGTGATGTGAAGGGCCGGTAATTCAGGGGTGCCCTCTGGGCCACCTCCAGCCCTGCAGGGTGAGCTGGGAGGGGCACACGGGCGATGTTTTCGCTTAGTAGCAGAGGGACGGACGTGGTGGAGTCGCAGAGCTGTGGCTGTCTGACAGTAAAGCAGCATCTGGATCTGCATCTGTCTTCTCCCATGATAGTCTGCTGATAAAACTGACAGAAAAGGCGGCGGCCCACGGCACCACCGCTGGCGCTGTCAGCCTGCGCTCAGCCACAGGGAGCCGCGGCTGCAGAGAGCCCTTGTGTTTTTACACGTGCGGGCAAGGAGCCAGCCCTGTGCCAGAAGGATGCGGGAGTACCCCCGCTCCTCCCCAGCCCGGATACTTGTTACACTAATACTTGAACGAACGCCTTACGGTATTCCGATCTGAGTAGCTGTTGTGTTTTATATACTGGTTTTGAACTTTGTTTTTGTTTGTTTGGGTTTTCTTTTTTTGATTCAGTGCAACGTACATGTGCAAGGAGTTAATTTAATTCCCAATACAATAAAAACTTTTTATATTAAAAAAAAAACAAACAGTTAAACAAGAGCTGTTTCTGTGCAGTCCTTTTCTAAAAGACCTGAATTCTTCAGTTCTCAAACCCTGAGTTAAACATGGGGTGTGCAGCCAGACTTGAGCCTGTTCTTTCTAACTGCTCCCTCTGAAACTTGCTGCTGCAGAGGCCAGAGCTGAGTGTCTGTGGTGCAGATCTGCATCCTCCTGGGGAGGGAGGGGGTCTGTGGGTTACGGTGCAATGCATAGCTAAGCTACACGCGCGTGCCCAAGTGCCTCCTCAGGTAGCAAACCTGCAAGTATCTGTTCTCCCCACTGAGGCCTTCACAGAGGGAAACCCGGCAGGGGCAGGTGCTTGGGAGCACGGCAGTAGAGGTTGGAGCAGGCCCTGGCCATCACAGAAGCCAGCCGCCAGCCTGAGCCGTGTTCCAGACACGGTGGAGGCAGCGCTTGCCTGGTTTGTTCGTAACACCTAACGCAGGAAGAGCCACAGCTGCCCCGGGGAGCCCCTTCGCTGTTCAGCCACTCTTTACCTTAGGCATTTATTGCAGAAGGGACAGTCCAGTTTAATATTCATCAATACTAATAAATATCTGCAAATCAAAGTAGCTTCTGGTCTAGTGCCAAGCACGTGAACCGTAACCACTTATGCCCCAGTTCGTAACGCTGTTACCTAGTGGATGACGAGTCTCGGCCAACTTGTCGGCGTTACCCGAGGAAGCGAAGGGAGCCTCGTGGCACTGACAATGCAGGGACAGCTTGATGCTCTCCCATCAGTCTCTGCCTCGCCCACTGTGTAATAAATACATCACTGGTGGCCTCATCTGCTTTGTGCCAAGGTGACTGTTAATACCGCCCAGAATTATGTAGGGGTTTCACTTGCAGTGACGATAGACGACTGACTCGGTTTTAAGCCGTGGTCCAGCAGTATCCCCATTTCTGCCATGCTCTGGCTGGCTAGCCAATTATTTCCCAAACCACTGTTGGTTTTTTTTCCCCCATGCTTGTTGAAGTTCATCTCAGTTTCCAGCAATTCTTTGCAGTTTGTAACGGTAGTTTTGTAATTGTGGCCTCTTGGCCAAAAGCTATCCGTAGCACGCAGTGCTCGCCTGTGAAGCGCTGAATACCAAAGCTCACTTGGAAAAGGTCTCCTTAGCTGGACGGCAACTGACACACAGCGCAGCTTTGTCAGCAGAGATGCAGACCCTTTCCAGGAGTTTCTTCACGCTCCAAGCCTCTCAACACAAGCATGTGCACCACCACTTTTATACGACCCCACCCGCACTGCGTTGAAGTCTGTCTGCACACAAGACCCGCCAGGTGTAAGGAAGCTGCTGCTGGGTGCCAAAGTTAGCCAGCCTTTTAAAACCCCTGCTCCGACCGACGAGGTATCACTACCAACAGCCTCGCTAAAGCTCAGCTAACAAACAGCTTTTACTGCTGTCTTACAGCCAAATAAATTAACCTGGACTGACATTAATGACTCTTGACGAACTCCCCACTGCTGCCTCTTACCAGCTCCTAGGTGTTAAACCCAGCAGATGGCATTAACCAAAGCGCAAGTCCCCAAAGCTCAGCTAGGCCAGGAGCTCCTCGGGGCAGCCTCCATCCCTTGGTCACAGGCCAGCTGAGCCTCTCGTTTGTCTCCAAGTCTTCCAAGGAAGGAGCTGCTCCTTCCCATCGATGTTCAAGTCTCTGGCACAAGCAGCACGCGGACAAACCACCCCATGACACACCCCAGTGGTCTCATCTTTATTCTCCACAGATGGAGAGGGGACTCCCACCGCCCCGTTCCCCCAGTACACAATGTTCCCGGCGTGTTGCTGGACACGGCTGTTTGCACATGGGCTGCCTTTGGCTGGCCTGGCGGCTTCTGCTCCTCACAGAAGACTGGCCTCAGGGTTCGTATGGTCCACGTCACGCCAGTAAGGAAGCAGCGAAGGAAGAGCAGACAGTTTTTTTTCCAGGCATGACCAAAGCTGTGCTGCTAGAAAGCTGTTGCCTTTTGTGGATAAATGAAGACCATCAGACAAATAGGCAGAGAAATCCTACAGGGGAAGTTAAAACCATGTATTAATATATTTGCTGGCTGCAAACAGAAGGTCTGGAGTAATTTTTACTAAGTTCATTCTTCAAAGCCAGCTGGTGTATGTACTAGTTTTATTTTTCACAGTTTGTATTAAAATACTAAGGGAATGTTCTGATGGCCAAAGTCACTGCTACTCATCAGGAAAAGCTCACAGGATTAAGTGATGCAACCAAAATATTGAGTCTACTGCACCGGGGAGTGCAGGAGAGAGACAGGATTCAGTGTCCAAGCTGGAGTTACTTGCTCACGGGAAAAGTCTGCCATCTGTGCCACGCGGACAAGTTTTGTTGGTTGGCCAGAAGCCTCAGCAAGGTACCTGGGCAACCTGATCTAACCCTGGAGTCAGCCTAACGCTGCGCAGTGGGCTGGACTAGGTGCCTCCAGAGGCCCCTTTCAACCTGAATGATTCCATGACTCCAAGTCCAAGGAAAAGGTTATTTACGTGTAACGCCCCCCGGGCACATGTGCTGGCCCAACGTCATGGCCAGGTTGTATTAAGCTTCACTTCTCGTAGCCCACTATGAAGCATTCTGGATTGGTTTTTTCCTTCCCCAAAGTGTCATTTGGATGTATTTTGTATCATTTCCATGATAATATGCAGCACTACCAGTTCCTCTGTGCTAAATGATGCATTTCACAATTCATGACAGTTTCAAAGTCCTTCCCATGACATCATACCTGATTTTTTTGCATCAGTGTCCAGAGGTCGAGTATGTCCGTCCCACAGTCCCTGGCTACCTGAACACAGGCCTGGGCGTATTCCCCAGTGGTGGCATTGCGGCGATTTAATTGGTTGCCTACCAATCAGAAACAAAGAGAACATTAGGAAGCGTGACAGATACAGCTCGATTTCAGCTTTCCGTGGTACCTGTGATGCGCATCGGGTCGTTAAACCAGCAGACACAACCCGTCACAATCGCATCTGAAGCACTTCGATTTCAGCGGCTGGAAGCTGCAGCTCGTTTAGTCTCTTTCAGGGCACCTTTTATTTTTGAGGCATTTCAAAAGTACGTGTCTTGTTAATAGACGTGTAGCAGGTGAGAGAGGAAACAGCAACAAGCACACAGCATGACAACGCTGACTTCTGGGATGCTCACAGCGTTCACCTTCTGGCAAGCTTCAGGTGCGATCGGTGCGTAGCTTTAAAACCGTTCATACACCTGCTGCTAGCACGGACAGTAGAGTTAAGTAAATGCAAATCTATTTACAAGCTTGCCTTCCGCTTCCTGGATGACATCCGACATTTAACATCTCCCTGCAGCAGCCTCCTCGTTGGAACACGCTGGTGAAACCAGAGTACACCGAGGTGCAAAGCTTTATTAGCCCTCGCGACTGCTGCATTTGTTACGCTGGGAGCCGGACATTCGGTACGTGCTCAGTGCCAGCTACTGTAAGCCAGCAGTGTTGCACGGACCACAGTGAAACTTTGGGGCAGGATATTATTAAGTTGTTTGGGGTTTTTTTATGGGACCTATAATGCAATTCATCAACTCCATCTCTACTCCCTCCTTGCATCTGATGATTCCCACTTCTTCACATTGCCACCTCTTTCCTGCCATCATTTCTCTTCTTCATAAAAGCACCCTCAGCAGCCTCACCGGTACTTCCCCACCACAGGAGGTTTCCTAACTCTTGCTTTCTTCAACTTTCTTCCTGGTTCAACTCCTCCCCAGACTGAGCGGCCCTTCAGCTCATTCAGCCTCCACCGCGCAGAGCTCCCTTTGTGGCCAAGTGCCCCGCACTGATCACAGCTTCGCCACCCCAGCTGAGGTCCTGCAGGCTTTCCCTTTCCAGGACTTCTAATCTAGCAGAGTTGGTAATCTCTTATTCTCCCTTTGCCTTTTCTTTCAGCGTTAGGAGTACTTCTCAACTGTTTCATCTCCTCTTCCGCTCCGGGAGCACACAAACACATGCCTGCTCCCCACGTGCAGCTCTGCAGGAGCACGTGCTGGGTCTATAAGCCTAGAGCGGCAGCCAAAGGAAGCTCAGGGAACATGGGGGTCTCCTGAAGGACCAAGGAGGTGACCTAGTGATTCATCCTGATCTGCACGTACCCATCCGGCTTGGGAAGGAGGAGAGCCAACAGTGGGAGCAATGGGTTGGGGGATATTCAGAGACACCAGATGCAGCTGGGTGTGGGGGCTGACCTGAAGGAGCCACCAGTTGCATTGGTAAGGTCAATGCAGCACCTACAAAAATCCATGGCTAATGGGAGACCCGTGGCGACTGGAAGAAGGTTAACACTGCACCCATTTTTAAGAAAGGCAAGAAGAAGGGCCTGGGGAACTGTCGATCACTCGGCCTCACCACAGTGCTGGGAAAGACAGTGGGGTTACTTCTCTTGGGATTCATTTCCAAACACATGAAGGACAAGAAGAAACTATCAACACAAATTTAGCAAAGCCAGATAGTGCTTGACCAACCCAATTGCCTCCTGCGATGAAATGATGGCTACACAGATGACGAAGAGCAGCTCTGGCTTTAGCAAGGGCTTTGACTCTGTCTCCCACAGCCCTCTCATCTGAAAGTCGAGTTTCTTTTGGCACCTCTTTTCACACCTGGATGAATGTTCCTGTGGACATCATCATCCCCGTGTTTCACATCTCTCCTTTGCTCTGACACCTACCTGACAAAACTAGAAATAAGCAGAACATTTCTCCTGGCTCCTGCTTGAGGTCTGACGAGCCAATATTGCTGCTTACTGTGCCCACACACTTTACTTGTGGTCCACAGTTTGCCATCAGCCTGCCTTTTGTTCCATCCCCAGATAGCAATCTCTTTCAGACAGACGCTGGAAGGTTCAACACTGTAAATGCAAGCTTCCTCTCACCCTACCCCGTAAAAGGATGGCTTGAAGACAAAAACGATGGAACAACATTTTAAAAGCGCTACTTGGCAGCCAGGAGCCAGACAAGCAGCACCCACGGTGTGCTCACCTAACAGGTCTTCAAAAGGACAATACGGGTGCATGCTTTGCAAACGACGGCTGCGGCAGCTTCAGCGGGAGCCGGGCAGACAGGCCAGGGAAGGCCGCCCTGCGCCCGACCTACCCTTTATGCCCTGTCCGAGGGCCTGCTAGTGTCACGTACACAGCACGGCCGTGGCTGACGGTCGGTCTGACCTGCTACAGCTGCTACTGTCTCACACGATTTGTGAGAGTTACTCCAGGACATTCCCTCCTGTTCCAAACTCCATATAAAAACCACCCCGCCGGTTGAGACTGAAAGTCCATATAGTCCAAAATCTGGTTTGCACAGTGGTCACTGCCACACACCAAAGCCCCCTGAATGCACAGTCATGCAATACCATAGTCTAATTTAACGCAGCTTAAACATGAGGTCATCTACAAAACGTTATCGCTTTGACTGAGCACGCAACTCAGGGTATGCAATACCACCCACATTACAGAAAACCCTGCAAACCTAAGGCGACAGCTCTGCCTCTACCTGAATCTCACTCAAAAGTCTTTTATAAATGTGCAGGAACTGGACAAGCTGCCCCAACGCAAAAGAGGACACGCTCTCAGGAGGTATAAACTGGCACTGCTGGAGGCAGTGGGATTATAGCAATTTCCACCAGCTGAGTAACGTGAAGTAAGCTGTGCTGTTATGTCTCTATTTTTGAGCGAGCCTGAACAATGAAACCTGAAATCATTTAATCACCCTTTGCTTCTTTTTCAGGTACTGTTATTAGCATCCTTAGAACATTATATTCTCTGCGTTTTCTTTTCATTTAAAATAAACCTGTCTAGGACATTACTGCTTATCCAAATAGATGTGGAATATGCTGTGACTGTTAGAAAATTTTCTAAAAGGCACACAAAATTTCTTCTATGATTCACGTTATTTTGGAAGCTGCTAGGACATGACGTAGTCTGCCTAGGACATCTTGGCAAAACCAATGTTCTCAAAGGGCAGCCACTTCTGCCAGTTTTATGCACGAACAGACCAATCAACACTTTCGAAAGGAAGTTACTAATCAGTTGGTAGTTACTCCACGAGCTTATCCAGAAGCCGTTTAGCAAAACAGCTAGCAGTCCTTTTCCATCACCTCAAAGAACATGACTGCCATCTGGAACAAGCACGAAGCTCATCACCTGTCAGCCTGGGATCAGTAACTTACACTGCCAGTAAAATGCAGAAATTCTGCCCATCCGTGTCATTCTGTTACCTTTGGCAAGACACTCCTTTTCCCAAGCTGATTCCTGAAGAGGTGGTGGCGTTATTAAAATAATCCTGTCTTCAGTAATGCCTACTGATTTCAGGTACTGTATCATGCTCTGTAAGTTCGCAGCATATTCCTCCAAAGGAACGTGTTGCTTCGGGTTCAGGTCTGTCAGGGGATGGAGCACATGCATGAGCGGCGTTAAACTGCTTACACACTTCCCAGACAACACAACGTGCTTTTACACAGCGTGTGAATGTGGGCACCCATTTGCAGTATGCAGTTCACCTCAGCCACTGGTTCAGGACGTGTCGTAGGAAAATGCCGTTCCTCAATGTCCAAAGGGGACAAATCATAGAATCACAGAATGGTTTGGGTTGGAAGCCACCTTTAAAGGTCACCTAGTCCAGCCCCTCTGCAGTGAGCAGGGACATCTGCAACTGGAGCAGGTTGCTCAGAGCCCTGGCCAACCTAACCTTGAATGTTTCCAGGGATGGGGCATTGACTGCCTCTCAAGAGGTTGAACACAGCACTTCCAGCTAACACAAACAGGGAAAAAAAAATACCCCTTTTTTTTTTTTAAGATGCTTTTTCTTACAACTCTGTATCTTAGTATGAGATCACATAATCACCTCAAACCTGACCTGAAACAAAACCTAAGATTTTCTCTGCGTCCAAGAGAGTTAAAAATTTGGAAATTCCCATGGATGTTCAGTCAGTCCTTTGTGCACTGATGTTATCCTTTTGATTAGACTAGCTCTGCGTGCTGCTATGCTTATCTTAAAGAGAATCCAAATGCTACCTTTCCTCCATCCATCTGCCAAGAACTCATCAGACTGCTTTAAAGGCAGAAAAATCAGCTAGACGCCCAACTCCAATTTTAGGTGATGGATATACGACTAATTCTTGAGCCCCTTGAAATTTACTTTTAATATTAAAACTTTGTGAGAGGGAGAGAAATAGAAGGCACTGCATGGTCTGAATATAAATAAAATGTTGAAAACAATCCACTGTAAAAATGAAAAGAGGGCAACCAGTTCACAGAGAAGCAGCAGGAAAAGTCTGTGTAATGTTCTGACTTTTCTGCTAAACTGTAACACTGGCTTAAGAGAAGGGGCCAAGGAAGTAAGAAAAAGCAAGCTACCGTACCTTTCAAAGCACTGTCATTTGCTCCAAAGAAAATAGTAACCGCAACAATACTCTCAGCACTAGTACTTTTAGGGATCAGTCTTGGAAGGATCAATTTAGCCCATCTGGTGTTGTACCCCGAGAGCCCTCGGTTCACAACATCACATTTTCTGAAACAGAGACACATATCAAAAAGAACATCTCTCCTCTGCCCACCAGAACAAAACTTGGGAAGTTTTGAACTATTCTGTCAGGATACCTGCCTCTGTCCCTCTCAGAAACAATGAGAGCTCGCAGGAGTTTTCAGTAGGATTGTAACTTTATGTTTTGAAAGTGCACGCACAGATGGCATGTGCAGTATTTACCTGTCGCTTAGACTATGAAACCAGAACAACAGTCTTGACAATGACTAAGGATGTTTTTTCTTTCCACTCATGCTTTGAGTGGAAAGAAACTCCCAATGAGTACTTCCACCAGTACTGGGCAGGTTACCAATAAGACAGTTCCACTTCAATAAATAAAGAAATGTTAATAAATAAATATACATTAAATATTAACTTGTGTTGGTTTTCTTTCAGAAAAGCTGCACAGACTTCTTGCATGCCAGGACTTTTGAAATTTAAGCTCTTACCTGACCAGTCTCTCAGCAAGGGATGCCCCCCAGCCGTTTTCCTGGAAGGAGAACTGAAACCAAGGAAACCGGTTAGACCCTCACTGGAAGCACTGCTCCCCAGCAGGACAGTCCCACCACTAGCACCTTTCCTCCTCAAAAGCCTTCGCGCATGGCCTCTGGCACTGCTGCAGCAGCACCTCCTCCCTCCCAGCCTGCCCTGTCCCTGCAAACAGTGCTGGTCTCACCTAGACACAGCTGGCATCAGTGGGACCATACCTTGAGGAACAGACCCTGTGGTCCCTCCGTAATTCAAACTGACTGCTGTCAGGCTGGAGTTTCATTTTGGCTTTTTTTTTTTTTTTTTCTTCATTCTGGAGAGCACCTCTCAAAAATCCTCCCTCCACGTGCTGCTTTGGAGTGCTGTTCGAGACCTACCTCTTCTAGTAGTGAAAAAATCAGTCCCTTCTCCTCATTCCTACTGCTGCACCATCCTCCCCCCCGTACAATGCTGTGCAGAGAGTTGGGTTAGACAACTCATCTCCCATCGAAGATAATGTCTGTCTTCAGCCACATCTTACTCATTGGAGCAGCTCTGTGACCCAATCCACCATGCAACCCATACAACAGAAGGCAGGGGACCCAGAACGAACACGAAAAAGCTGGTGCCGCCTCAAAGGAGACGTTCACCAAGCCACGGTCCGGTCACATCAACCCAGGACGCGTCTCCGGGGCAGGCAAGCTCTGGGCAAAGAGCTGCACCAGGAGACGGGACAGGGAGGAGTGCAGGGCCAGCACAGACACAGGCTGTCCTCCCGCACTGGGAAATGCCACTGAAATATCAGAAGCTACGCTTCCACCAGATCACGCTTCTGCCACGGGAACTTCAGGAATTTCTGCAAAAAGGCTCTAAATCTCATAAAAGACCATCAGGCCTGAAAGCTCCCGGATCTCTTGTGGGAGACCCAGCAGGGACATGGCTCTGCCGGGCCACACTCTCGTTTCACCGGTCTCCTTCCC